GGCGTACAGTCACACGTGGGAGTAAAATCTTTGGAGAATTAGAGACGCAATCTGGTGCCTCGATTTGGTGTTGTCACTTCTGATTTGAGGAACATTTCCTTCCCATTTGCAGTTCCTTCCTTTGCTAACATAATTTGCTCCCTAAAGGGAATGGTAGGTGTCTGAGGTGTTCGCTGGCATTACCCTGCTGTTCGTACTGTACCTACTGCGTGAGCTTCTTCGATGTAGATGATAAGGAAATCTGCTATAGAGCCGAAATCTTTGACGAGCTTGTTGAACTCATCAAATTTTAACATAAACGAAGGTCAGGTGCAGCTTCCAAAATTCAGGATTAAAGGGCGGTTATCTGGAAAAAAACACAGGGCAGTTTGTGGCTAAATCAGTGGTGGGAGGAAGGACAGAATTAGATTAATGCGTTGAATCGAGCCTTTGCCACAGAGTTTCCTAGGCAACAGTGGGTAAGTCACTTACCCCATAACTTTCTTCTCAGGACATTAAATTCGGCAGCAGAACATCTGCATCTATACACAACAGGCATAAAAGTGCTTGCTTTTCCCTCTCCTGGCTCTGACCTGTGCTGGATCCAGCGATGAGCTGATCCAACAGGGAGCCTTTCTGTTGCAAAGCCCGGTGAAGGCAGGAGACACTGTGCAGTCTCACAGCTTCTCTTGTGTCCTTATCCTGAGAGCCAGTTCCCGAGTTACCAACATTTTGGGCTAGGGAGCTGATCTCAGATGGATGTAGAGCACGTAGCACGTCACAGCCTCCCCAGGGTCCTCAGTACGAAGGAACTTCAGAAATACTAAGCGTGATCATCTGCGAGGTTTTTCAAAGAGCAGGGGTTCAGGGATGTCTTAAAGCCATTCAATGAACCTACTGCACACGTCTTTCTTTTCAGAGGTGTCAGTTCTGGCTGAGCTGCGTGGAAGCTGCAGACTTTTCAGTCATGCATCACAGGCTTTCATGCTTTCGATGTATTTCTGCAATTTCCCATCCAAACAGAGCTCTGGTTATAGATTATTATTTGTTAAACTAACGTTACACAAGCCACTGGCAAAAGTGTCTGTGTAGTCGCTTACAAATTAACCCAGTGTGTGCCCACAGGTGTTAGCATCTGTTTGCAAGGCCTCGATTTAAGAGAACTTGCAGAATTTTTAAGCACCTCTTTTAGTCTGTGGTTATGCTAAATTATCAGAAATTTGTTCAAGATCTGCCTTCTGGCTGGGCTTAACTTCAAAAACTGCTGCTAACACAGATCCATATCCTAAAGAATCTAGTAAGGGGGGGTACCTTCCTGTAAATAGTGGGTGTCTCTCTTCCAAATTTGCATCCTATTTTCTACATAAATATAATCTGTATATAATGAGAAAAGCAGAGTTACAGAAGGATGTAATCCCTCCCATGGAGATCGAGACTGGAGCTTAATGATTAATTCCACCTTCCATGGAGATCTCTGTGGGAGGCAGTGGACAAAGTACAAAGCAGCTACTTTTTTCTTCTGCTTCATTTCTAGCCGCTTTGAATCTGGAAAAAAAACCCTGTGTGCTTTCTGGGCTTCAGGCTGGCTGAGGGAGCTGGTGTGGGACTCTACGTACAGGGAACGACAGCCAGCACTCGTGGATCCCCTGCACACAGCTCCGATTCTGGGTCTTTTTTCCCCTAAAATAAATTACCTTGGCTTTCAGGAAAGAGGTAGAGCCAGCTTTCACAAGAGGTTCATTAGCTTACTGGTGTGCAGGGATATTGTAGCCAGGATCATAAATAGAGGTTATTTTTGGAAATCAAGAGGCAGGCAGCTGGAAAGACTGCACCTTTCCCATCAAATGAATGCTGGCAGCCTGCTCTGCTATGTTGTGTGCGCTCACGCCAGCTGCCTGGCCCTGTTCCCTCAGCAGCCTCTTCTGATTTCTCGTCTCCGCAAACCAAACCCATCTATGCGGCCCAATTACTGACCTTGCATGAAGTCAAAGAGATGGTGAACTTCCCCGTTGAGAGTCACCACTGGCGTGTTGGGAGCAGGATGTCCCTCGTGGGCTTCATCCTCCAGCCTCTTCCACTTCACCTTCAGCACAAAGAGCAGATACTTGAAGCTGAAAAAAGTCGGGCCCCAGTTTTCATAGCTGAACTTCGGATTCTGATTCATTCTGCTTTTTTCGCCCATTTTTAGGATGTATCTTTTCATGGTGCTGGGGAACAGCATCATCAGTGTTTTGCCGACGACAACACATGCAGTAACATGCAGAAGGATCAGGATTTTTTGTAGGAATACCCTGATGCCGCACATCGTGGTGCTGGAAGTCTGACTGCTCCTGACAGGAACGCGGCGCGATGGCAGGGGCAAAGGTAAGAGGGCAAAGGGGTGGAAAAACGTTCACATGTTTGGCCTTGCCTTGCACCATCACCTCTCTGTGGGCTTCATTGATTCCACTGATGGTAGACTTTTAGTGCCAGCTGCACAATTATCAGGCTTATTCACAAATAAGTTGTGTATTTTACTGATGAGAGGAGCTGAATCAGGATGTTTTTCCCAGAACCACAGACTAAAAGTTAATAATGATGGGAGCAGTACCCGAGGATCTGTTCCTACCAGCACTTTTGTGTTTACGCCCTGTGTGCACAGGGCTCGGTGCACTCCAATTTCTGTGCAGGGCCGTTGGCGCCGATGCTGGGGCCTTGGGTTGACGCTGCCATTTGCATTTCGCACGTGCTTGTGCAAGCCATGTCCTGTTCCTACAGCCCTACCTCCTCCAGTGGTCTGCTGCATCCCCGTATTTGTCACTTTGGGGCCAGAAGGATACCTCTAAAGAATATATACCCCAATATATAA